CCTACATGACGTGTGTTCAACCAAAGCTTTGATCTGCTCCAAAACTGCAAGGTTGGCCTTACATAGTACAACAACAACAACAACAACAACAGTAGTAATAATAATAGTAATGATGATAATAGTAATAATGATAATAGTAATAATAATAATAATAATGTACCTAGCTTTCAGCTACATGGGTGCTGGTGTTCATGGAGCTTCTGAAACACCAGATGATGTTTAATTTGAAAGGTATTCATAAGATAACAGTGTGTTTTAAAGCAAGCAGATTATAACCCTTTGGTTTTTTGTGCATGAACATTTCACACTGCTGCTGTAGATCACAGGGAACGAGAAGCTTTTTGACACAGCTGATATGAAACAGTTACATGACAGCAGCTTCAGTTTTCTGGGGGGACTCGTAATTTTAAAGGACTTTACTTGTAGAAGTTTGAATTATTTTTTAACAGCAGCTAAACGGTGCAGATACAGACAATAACTGGAGCTGTTTTATTTGWTACAGGAACTCTGACAAATGTATTCTTGTATTGATGTCAGTAGATACACATATTATGAATAGACTTCACACCACAGAGCTTTGTCTAAAACACATCACRTACCGATGTACAGCTGTGATTCATCAACATCTCCACCAAACGCCACGGTGCTCCCCTCCATCAGACCCATGAGTCTCTTGAAGTGACGCTGGCTGACGATGCGACCGTAGTCATCACTCACCTTTGGGTTGTCGGTGTAAAACTCCTGCGTGGAGTCACATTACAGAAAGGTTGTGTAGCGTTAGAAAACAAAATCTCCATGTTTACTGTGAACAGAAGTCACCTTCATCTTTATAAAAACAAAAAATACAATTTGAATTATGTTAGACAAACACCAGAGAACGGTTTCTAACATCCTGTGACTTTTTTTATCTTGTAAAAGCTGCAAATCATCATTTTACTGTATTTTTGTTTCCTAATTTCTACTGTCAAACTCTGTCATTCTGTTTAGAATTCAAAGTATTATAAAATAATTTCTCTGATTGCCAACTTTTAAAAAATAAACTATCCAAATTAATAACAAATAATACAAAAATCTAACATTGTGACATGGTTACATGATACTGTCCAAACTGACCTTTATGGACTTCTTGATCTCCTCCAGAACTCTGCTCTGGACGACAGATTCACACAAAACGTAGTCTGGAGCGATACACGTCTGACCACAGTTAGTTAACTTCCCCCAGGTGATCCGGCTGTGCAGGAAAATAAATAAATAAATACACACACACACATACACCCTATATGCACCAAATCATATTTTTGCAGTTTTGCTCACTTCGTATCCATACTTTTAGGATACAAAACGAAGCCCCTGTCCAAGTTCTATTCATGCTGCTTCATAACCACTTCAGCAGATTTGGGACAKTTTTATTTTTATTTTGGAACAGTTGGGCCTAAAGACATAAATTTTTCAGAAATTTAAAATGCATTAATTCACACAAACACACATCTTGATGATGTATCCATCTATCACCTGACGTACTTTACTCACACACAGACCTTCAGACTTCTCGTTAAAAACTTCTAACTCAGAGTCCAACACTTTTTCACAAGAAGACACAATTTAAAACCTGATCTGATCTATTTTTATATACATATATTAAATAAATATGTCATGTTTTTCAGTTTTATTTTGTAAAACTTTCTTACAGTTATTTCCTTTACTTCAAACAGATAACAGGAGGTGGGGCGGCTGTGGTGGAGTGGTTAGGGGAGTCATCCTGTAACTGGAGAGTTGCCGGTTTGATCTAATGTAGCTTAGCACCATCAGTGTGTGAATGACTGAGTGTAAAGGGCTTTGAGTCCCCATGAGGCTTGATAAAGCAGTGTAAGTTCAATTACAAAGTAGCCTGTTGTGTTTTAACATCCATCCATACATATTTACCTCCATCCATACCTCCAGCCATCCATCCTTCCATCCATACATACATACATACCTCCATCCATCATCCATCCATACCTCCAGCCATCCATCCTTCCATCCATACATACATACATACCTCCATCCATCATCCATCCATACCTCCAGCCATCCATCCTTCCATCCATACATACATACATACCTCCATCCATCAT